CACGGAGGCAGTTATAAAAATATTTTTTTCCATTGTCTTCGGAAGGATTATCAAATGAAAGCTTGCAAAATTTCGCACACAAATACACAAACGGACACAAGATTTTTCCATTTAAAAAAAATACTAAGAAGCGTGTAGGGTGAAGCCATGTCTCGAGAAAATAAACTCAAACATATTTTGAAAAACTACTGGAATATACTCCTTAACGTGTTAGTGTAGAGTCTAGTGCATAGTGAATCGTTCTTATCTTAAACGACAGAGTTGAATGTAAATGTTATTTGTCAAGCTTCACGTGCCCTTGCTGTACATAAAAAAAACTAACATAAATTTCCAATTTTGTAAAGTAATTGCGCAACTTGTGTGATAGGTTGGATAGGATATAGATAGGTAGATATAGATAGGTAGGTGTGGTAGGATGTCCTATATTTGTTTACCGTGTGTACCAATACTATCAATAATAAAAAATAAATAACAAAATCGTAACGAGTGTCTAATTGTTCATTTATTAACTTATAATTACTTATAATAAAGGTACATTTTTTAAATAATAACATTTATATATACAGAAGTGTATGTACAAGAAATATAAGCGTACTTAAATGTACTAAAGGGTAAGAAAACACGGTGAATACAAAAAAGTTGAAACTTTTTTTTGTTATTAAAACTGGGAACTCGCCGGCTTACCTGATGGAAAGTAGTTAACACTGTCTACGTATATTGGTGATAGTAAAGAAATATTTTTAATATAAAAAATGCGTTGACTCCTTCTCCTGGGCTTCCCTGGCTATTTCTCTTTTAATCTAGAACACAGCAGACCTGCTTTGCGGCGGAAGTAAATTGAACGGTGGTATCTACCTAGGCGGGTTTTACACAGAGAACTCTACCACTAAGAACTGCTAAGCAAATTGTGATAATTATGGAAAACATTTAAAAAAATTTAAGATAGGTGAGGAGGAACTATCCCGCCAATACGGTGGCTTTTGAACAGAGTGACCTGGCGAAGCATAGTCCAGCCCTTTCCGTCGAACTTAAAAATCAGCAATGTTCAAGAAGAAATTCTACACATCGATATTTCGGGAAATAAAGGATGTAAAACCCAAACTACTGCAAAGTTAGTGATGATGTCAAAATTAGTAAAAAAAATACTAATGATCTTCATAACTTATTTTTTTGCGACTGACAAATATGAATAGACTCGAAGGCGCTTGGTACATCAATAACTAATTTTTTATAAGTTAGTTTTTACACCTTTTCCTTCTTTTTTTTATATATCAAGTGACGGGACGAACCAGTCGTGCGTTTGATAGTGAGCTACACGCCTTCTCCGAAATATCGTCATTTTCGAAAACCATTCATAAACTTCAGAAATTGAAACACAGCGAATGAGTTTCGGAATATATATAGATTTTTGCTTATGAGTCTGAACTTCAGGCTGATTTTCAATTTGGCGTTATCTACCCACGAGATCGTCAGAAGATACGAGTCGTAAGAATTGAGGAACACGACTAAGGGGGGATTTATTACGTTTTATCTAACGGCCTCGACGATCCAACGGTTCGCACTGTGGGCACTTCTTGAGAATTCGCCAGGTTCAGGGAATTCTCCAGTGTGAGAGCCGATAATTCGCAAGATAGTCAGTCTTGATATTATATTACGTCATAAGTAAAATTAACTCCAAAAGCATACCTTTACCTTTAATAAAATTGTACCTTTTTTGCATCACCCTGTATAGAATACAAAAATGTAATAATTCCAAAGTGACTAGGATTTGTTTGAGAGTTTTTGGAACTGATATTCTTTCTTTAGTTCTTTCAAGTTTTCTTCTAAAATCGCCACCTGCGAACAAAACAATGACACGTTGAAATGCTTACCACGAATAAACCCACAAGGAAAATATATTTCGTTCGAAAATTAACTCTTTTGTAATATTTATTTGACCAGTAACATATTCTATCTTTATCAAGGTATTACCCGACAGGAATTACCCATTTGACTCACCAAGTATTTGATTTAGGGAATCACACACAAGTGTGTGAAGCGTCGATAACGACGCGAAATTGGCTTTTGCCGACAAAAATTCATGAACGCATAGCGCGAATTCATGATTACGCCTTGTTTTGGGTTAGTATGGAATGAATACTGATAAGAAAGAACCTCTTCAATTTAAAATTGATTTCGGTCCGTACTTTAAAAAAAACATTTAATCATAGTATAATTCGACAAGTATAGTAACTCCATTCATAGGCCGCAACGCGGCTTACGCACACATTCGCATAATAATAAAAGGCGCGTGTGACGACCAGCGCTGTGCAACGCGAAATTATGCAGCAAATGTGTGCAAATGCATTCAAACATATGTTTTTTTGTTTTTATAACATCAAGTGACGGGACGAACAAGTCGTGCGTCTGATCGTAAGCTACACGCCTGTCCATAACAGTTACAGTGCCACTCAGAGCTTTAAATTGCAAAGATCTGAGGGGCACTACCACTGCGCCCGTCACCCTGAGACATAAGTTGGCAAGTCCCATGTGCCCTTAATTTACTTCTATGGCGAAAATTAATATTATACAATACAAACTACATTTAAGTATAATTTGCTATACCCCGCCAGGGTCCATGTGAAATGGAAAACAACTCTAATTTGTTAATAGGATGACGTACATTTATTTATCACCACAATTATTATGCGCTAGTTAGACTCAATTAAAATCTAGTCTACCACACGTCCTCCAAAAACTGAGAAGACCAACCGATAAGCCCCACTCTCATAATTCAATAGGGATTTAAACCGCGGCGGGAAATTAACACGAACCGATGTTGCCATATTGTATATCGAAATTATATCTACACTCATAGAAAAATATAGAATACTGACATTCGGCCACCCGGTAACGTGCAGCCTCCCGACAAACACACCCAATATAGTTTTAACTTTATCCACTATAATACATTCATGACATTCTGTAATATTAGGGGTTAAAGTATGAAATTGCCGTTTTAATACAATAGGTTCTTTGAATTTTCATAGAATCTTCATGGTTTGAGGTTTTCGAATGAAACTTGAGCCACGAGGAAGACCGCCCACACAGGTGAATAACGATGAATTAAGAGAGATAGTGGAAGCCGATCCTAGTCAAACTACCCAGGAATTAGCGGCATGGTTTAACGTTACCTTACCCACAATATTGACTCACTTGCGTCAAATCAATAAAATAAAAAAATACGAAAAATGGGTGCCTCATGATTTGACTGATCTGCAGAAAGAAACGCGTGTTGAAACTTGTGTTGCCTTGTTGAACCGGTACAGAAATGAAGGAATATTGGATCGAATTGTAACATGTGATGAAAAGTGGATTCTTTATGATAACCGGAAAAGAAAAATGCAATGGCTGACCCCAGGTCAAATGCCACAACAGTGTCCTAAAGCAAAACTTACCAATAAAAAGGTAATGGTAACTGTTTGGTGGTCTCAGCATGGTGTTATTCACTATAGTTTTCTCCGATCTGGTCAAGCAATAACGGCAGATGTCTATTGTGCCGAACTCCGAACCATGTTGACAAAACTAGCAGTAAAACAGCCCCGACTCATGAATCGATCTTCACCATTATTGCTCCACGACAACGCGAGACCTCACACAGCACGAGAAACCATTTTGACCCTTCAGGAACTGCAGTTAGAAACCATTCGTCATCCTCCGTATTCACCAGACCTTGCTCCAACGGACTACCATTTTTTTCGTGATTTGGACAATTATCTACGTGACAAGAAGTTTTCTTCCCAGGAGGCAGTACAAAATGCTTTCACACAGTTTGTGCAGTCTAGATCGTCGGAGTTCTATCGCAAAGGCATTAATAACCTTCCCATTAGATGGCAGCAATGTATAGATAATAATGGCAACTATTTTGATTAAATAAATTTGTTAAAAATTTAAAAAATAAACAATTTAGATTTTCAGTACAAATCGGCAATTTCATACTTTAACCCCTATTATTTATTAATACAAAGATCGAACACAGGAAAAATTCGCTTCGATCTGGCCGGATTCGAACCGACGACGTCTTTTAGCAAACCGTGACACGCTATGCCAACTAAGCCACGAAACGAACCAGCGGACCTTACGAATTGTTCTGTGTGCTTGTTGTCGGATCTTTATATTTGGTTCTATCGTTGTCGTTGAGTCGTCGCCTAAGTGTTCGATCTTTGTATTAATAATTATAACAAAGTAATGGAGTAATTTTACAAAAAAATAATAGAATATCAATTCAATGCAAATTTAATTCTGTAATATGTTAACACAATATTCTAGATTTTTATTGAATTGATATTCAATTATTTTTTGTGAAATTACTCCACTAGTTTGCTATAATTATTAATACAAAGATAGAACACTCAGAAAAAAATCCTTCTATCCGGTCGGATTCGAACCGACGTATTCTTGCATACCGTGCCAGATGCTATACCAACTAAGCCACGGAACGAACCAACGGACCTCACGAATTTTTCTATGTGCTTACGTCGTGTCTTTTGTATTTGGTTTTTCAACGACTTTTTAGTCGTAGCGCCATCTATGAGAAATCTATGAAATATTTATCACCCAGTTAGTACCTTTACAGCTACCAGTCCTGGCGAGAGATGTCGCTATTCACTGTATTTTAAATTTTTATTGAATTGATATTCGATTATTTTTTGTGAAATTACTCCACTAGTTTGTTATAATTATTAATACAAAGATCGATCACTCAGAAAAAATGCCTTCGATCCGGTCGGATTCGAACCGACGTGTTTTTGCATACCGTGCCTGCATCTGGTTTATTAAATAAAAATATGCAGTGTACATACATAAGTGTGTAATAAAAATATCTAAAAACTACGAATTTTTATTTGATAAACCAGATGCTATATAAATGACACAAACAATTTTTCCATCCTGTTAAGTTGTCAAAAGATAGTACCGATTGCCAGTTCACAGTCGAAATATAACATCCTGATATATGCAATCTGAATGTCAGGATTCTATATTTTTCTTTCGGTTCAGATATAATTTAATAATCACTTTAAATATAATTTAATAACTGTCTCTGTGGCCGAACGGTTACTATTGTTAAATATTGACTGCCACGCAGAGGTCCCAAGTTCGATTCTCGGGCCGGGAGAAATATTTTTATGGCGTACATTTATGTGAGTTTGGGTGTAATTTATGGTTGTATATGTGCGTGTCCATGGCATCTGCGACACAATGTTTCTCTAAAGCGAGGCTCTGTTAAGCATGTGCGTGTGTGTGCATTAAATTTGGATATATAAAATGGCAACATCGGTATCGCTTTATTTTCACGCAGTTTAAATCCCAGTAGGGATGTGTGTGATGTGTGAGTGGCCGAATGTCAGTATTCTATATTTTTCTATGAGTGTAGATATAATTTCGATATACAATATGGCAACATCGGTTCGTGTTATTTTCCCGCCGCGGTTTAAATCCCTATTGAATTATAAGAGTGGGGCTGATCGGTTGGGCATATCAGTTTTTGGAGGAAGTGTGGTAGACTTGACTTTAATTGAGTGTAACTAGCTCATAATATTTGTGACAATAGATAAATGTACGTCATGCTATTAACAAATGAGAGTTGTTTTTAATTTCACTTGCGATGCTATTATTTACTTGTAACATCAGTATATACCATAGTTGCAATAAATTATATTCTATTTATACAAACCGCTCTGCTACAAATGTAGCAGACAAATGTCTTAAACTATTGTTAGACACAGACGTGAATGAAAATTAAAACGTAAACTCGGCGAGACTGGAAGCCCTAGTGTCAAATCAACGTCTCCAGACTGCGTCCATTTTGTCAGCGTCCTATTCGATACCTCCGAAAAAATCGAGACTAAAATTGGTCTCGACGATCCAGGGTAAAACGAGACTATCGAGATTTCAAAAGTAGGTTTCCACATATAGGTCAGGCATTTAGATAGTCCAGACATGATATTTTAATAAAGTTCTTTACTAACCCAAATTATGAAAAAAAAAATAACTTTGGAAAGTTTTATCATTTTTATAATGGGCACGTAAAAATAGCGTTTACTGTAGTTTCAGATAGAGAGAATTTGATTGCTATCGCTCTTCAATCTCCACAAATTATACTAAGGCACCGCTCTACAGTGTTGCCATGTTCTTGTAGCCAGAATAAAAAATACTGTTAGTTAAGTAGATTTTTTATAAGTAGGTACTGCTTAATTTTGACGACCTTCGTGATCAAGTAGTTTGCACACTGATTTTCATGGTGTCACCATCTCTGAGATTCTGAGTTCGATCCCCAGCCGGGTCAATGAAGAAAAACTAACTTTAGAAAAGTTTTCCATTGTCTCGGGTCTGGGTGTTTGTGGTACCATCGTTGCTTCCGATTTCCATAACACAAGTGCTTTAAATACTTACTTTGGGTTGAAAGGAACGTAGGTGATATTGTCTAATATTTATTTAATTGAAAGTCTGGATATTCCCGAGACTAAAATTATCCGAAATTATCTCGAAAATGCCAAAAAATCGTCGAGCCTTGCGGAATTTTCGAGACCTCGCTGGATGAAATGACAAAATATGATGAAATGAAATATGACACGTACCTCTTCAAACTTCAATTCCCTTCTCGCCTCCTTGATATAGCCTCTAATAATATTCATCTGCTCCAGCAACGGGTTGTCGTCATCCGATTCCCCGCCTCCCGCCGTCGAACCACTACCCCCCGCTCCCCTCGCTGCCGACCCTATCCCCGCTGCAGCTTCCGCCTCCATTCGAGCCCGTTCAAGCTGAATCTGTCTTTGAGCTCTCTCGTATCTTTGTCGACGTACTTCTTCGATTTGGGCTTCCGTTGGAAGTTTGCGAAGAGAGAGAAGTTCTTCCTGAAAATTTTGCATAGTTTGATGGGTACGTCAACAGCATGCAGTCACAACTGCAACCAGCGTGCAGTCTAACGTGCTACAGCATAGCCCTAATCTAAGTATTTATTTATTTATTTATTTCCAAGTTGCACATGTACATAAAAAAGGTCTTATAATAAAATTTTTGTATGGTACATGACCCCGTCAGGGTGTAGCAAGGAGACTTAAAACTAACTATTAAATTAAATTAAATTATTATACTTCACACTTAATTATTAAAGACGTGAGCTTTCCGTGAGTTATTTTCAGATAAAAATTCATTTATAGAGTAGTATGCTTTTTGGACGAGATACTGTTTAAGTTTGTTTTTAAAAGTGTTTATATTATTTTCTTTTTTAATTAATATTGGAATTTTATTATATATTAAAATAGATCTATACAATGGGCTGTTTCTGTATATCTCTAATTTAGGTGGAGGGAGGATCAGGTTATACTGGCGACGAGGATTTTTATTAATTTCAAAATATTGTGGTATACACGCTGGACTCGTTTCGTAATATGTGGATGCGTGAGTGAGAAGTTACACGTTGCATAAACGTCCTATAATTTTAACGTCTCTAACTACACTCATGGACAAATTTGGAGTAACGCTAAAAAAGGTTTAATTGGATGCTGATATAGTAATAACGTTTCAACCAACATGATCATAGTTTTGAGCACGGTCTAATCACTACGTACATTTTGCTTTGTATGTCCAGGAAGATGGACGTCGTGAATCAATAGATAGCGCTAGCATCTCTTTTTTTGCCATATAATTTTTAAATATTTTTTCAGTAATCGAAATATATTTTATAAAGGAAGTGTATTAACTTCAAAAAAAGTGTAATGAAAACAAGAATCCAGAAAGCTAATAAAAAGCTTAAATTTGAAGATATGTATATGTACAGGGAAAAAATACTTCCCGTGTTAGCCACCAGGGGTCTTATGAGCTGATAACTCTATACTAATTATGTATAAGCTTAGAATAATAACGCATAGAATGATAGTTTCATATCAAACGAACTGTCACAAGCGATGCAAAAATCAAATTCATGTAGACTAGTTTTAGTAGTACGTTAATTTTCGGTTTTAGTGAATATTTATATAAAAATACAAGTTGAAACGCGTTACTTCCTTGTGGAATGTGATGTTAGTATCTATTTTATGTTTGTCTGACGTATTTTTACACTCATTTACCGCACATTTCGTCATTTTTAGCTAAAATTCTTGATCTGTTCGCGGTGCAAGTTGACCTTGAGCACTGAAGGCCCGCCCGCTCGTATAGGCCCATTGGGCGCGCTTCAATTTGCCTCACTTAGCGTGTGCGGGCTAGGTTTCTATGCGTTATTATTCTAAGTGTATAAGGTACTTTTTGAGAAAATGGTACATAAAGATTTTTTCGTGATTGTAGCTGCAATGGATTGTCAGCTGTTTTTACAATTTTTATTATTTGGATGTTTCAAATCGCTTAGTTATGTTTGTAAAATGTAGACGAGACGACAAGCTACAATTTGGCATTAATATCTCAATTTTCGAGTTTTTGTGGGTCAACACGTTATTACTTGTCAGTTATCTATTACTGACTAGAACGTTTAATTTGAAATAAGAATGAATTCAGTGGTGTTTTGATTTCGATTACACATTTTGTTATTTGTGGTCAGTGATTCATATGAACGTTGTTATCACAATTTAATGTTTTTTTTTAGAATTCCGATGGCGCACTAAACTGAATTACGTCTTCCGAAGCCGAGAATACCTTCAATTTGGATAATTATTTCCGCGGATCGAAGTAACTACGGTATTATCTGTATCCGAGTCCGAACGCGGCGGTAATGTTAAATTTCATTGTCTTTCTTTTATTTATGATCCTATGTTATTTAGAAGAAAACAATCCTCATAATTGAGACTTTCGATCTCTGTAGTAAAATTACAGGGTTTTTTTCACTTTTGGTGGACTCGATTCCCGGTACAGACAAGTGATTATTTAAAAATCTTTGAATGCAGTTCGAATTATTACAAAAATCCATCGAGTATATAACCAGAAATAGAGACCAAATAAGGGCCATATATTCCTGGTAACACATTAGCGATACAGCTCTTATAAATATCAACTCTCGTTTGCACTGAAATATAGAAAGGCCAACCACTGACCTGTGTGTACGTCTCCGTATATTCCAAAAAATATTCTGTATTTATTGTAATAAAGATAATATCTCTAACAATGCCGTGCTGTTCTATTCAGTGGTTTGGGAAAAACAGCAAAACATCTAAGTACAAAACAAACGGAATCACATTTCATCGGTAATTAAATATTAAATATGTAATTTTGGAATTTTCGTTCATTATAGCAAAGCTCAAGTTAAGAGGTCGATTTGAAGTGAAACAGTTGACGACACCCATTGACGACACCCGTCAATTGTTTCGAACTCGGGCTAGCCAATCGGAGCGCAGTTGTCAAAGTAATATGACAGAATAGTTTTCAAACAAATTAAATGACATTTCGTCTCTATTTCTGGTTATATACTCGATGTTAAAATCTAAATGAAGTCTTATTTAAGTAAAATTTTCTATTCTGCGGTATTTAAGGTACTTTCGTTCGTTGTGGCATAGCCGTGTGACGCCCTGTGTTCAACAGGAGAAGGTTTACGCAAAACTTTTTATTTCTTCTGCGTTTTCATATGTACTAGCAATGCCAAAAATTGACGCAGATTGAAAGGACAAATAGTAGTAATCTTGAGATGTATAAGCGATATTAGTATTTTCTCTGATTCGTATTGGACTTAGTGCACAAGCGACATCCGAAGTCGGTCTGAGTTTTCTAGATTTGTATGTCCTCGAATTCGAAACTGTCGTTGGACTGTCGTCTGGAAAAGCAATATTTTCCTACCTAAAAAGCTGATAGTCCGCCAACAGATTTGAAATGACCTGTCCTTTGAGCTAACCTTAATATAATGAGCAGCAGCCTGCCTAATAGCGTTCTGCAGCTTAGCATGACGGCTCCCCGGTTCAGCGGGAAAAGCCGCGATCTGTTTACTCAACAGGTCAATGCCCTCGGCTAATTTCCCTATACGTCCACGCATGGCGTTTACATCCGACAGGTTGTACGTCGTCTCGCCGTCGAAGAGGCTTTGACACATCTGTGAAGTAAAAGCAAGTATGAAGTGGTGATTTCCGAACATTGTTTACAAGTAACTATAGTCTGAAGACGGAGTAATATAATATTTGCGGTATTGCCAGTTTTCACAAAATTTTAAATAGTTATGTAGTAGTTGTCGAGTTTTATCGAAAGATGAATGGTGAATGTTACGACGTTGTAATCATTAGTAATTGCGTTATTTATTCTTATTTTGACAATGGGCCTATTAGTAACGAGATCAATTTTTATTCATTTTTATACATTTTAATAAAAATAGCCGGGTTTGATTATCTATATTCATTATAATTTTTATTGAATTGATATTCAATTATTTTTTGTGAAATTACTCCA